GCAAGGGACTTGATACGAGTTTCCAGAAGAAGCCGCCTACTACGTAACGACCATCCAACCCAGCCATAATTAGTCAGGGCCATTTACTCTGTACCAGTCTCATGACTGCTAGTTAGGTAGTATTGTAAGATTTGATACACTTATTGTTAGTCTCATAAATGAGAAGATTCAATAAATAAAAGCAAAGCCTAAAAAAAAAATTTTTTTGATAACATGAGATTCAATTAAGAAGATCAATCGGAAATCCCATTAAATCGAGTTTCTGAACAAGAAGAGAATGGTTAACAGAGTCAAATGCTTTACTGAAATCAGTATAGATTACATCTGTCTGAAAGTTATTTTGGTAGCCCTTTATAATAAAGGAAGTGAGCTCCAAAAGATTGGTTGTAATTAATCTTTGCCTAATAAAACCATGTTGACATGGAGAAATAATTGACCTACACAGGTGCTGCAGATGAGGAGTAATAACATTTTACATTTAACAGTTTAGGGATGGCCGACAACTTAGAGATTCCTCTGTAATTGTTGGCCTCCAATTTGCTACCTTCTTTGTGGAGAGGATTAACGAATGATTCCTTCCAAATATGGGGAAAGTGGGAGGTTTCTAAGGATAAGGTAAACAATTTGAGAAGGGGATTGCACAGGGCTTCGGCACAATTCCTAAGCACACAGCCTGGTATTCCGTCGGGACCTGGTAAAAAAACTGTCTTAACACGATGAAGATCTAAACGAAGAAAACTTTGGTTTAAGGTAGGACTGAAGATTTGGTTCGACTTGGGGATGATGTAAGAATGAGCCTGACTTGGGTTTATTAAGTTGGAGTAAGTGGTTTGAAAAAACGGAGCAAAAAGATCGGCTATTGCCTGATCATTATCTGTTGTTGTATTATCAAAAGAGAGCGAGGAAGGATGAGTAAGTAGGTTTACGTTTGTGGTAGGCTAGATACGAATAAGGCCCACTGTACATTGTATTAGCATAGAATCAGGATAAAGCCCATTGTATTGAAGAGCTATACAAGATAAAATCCCCGTTAGAGTTAAGTATAAAACTGTCATCTCTGTCTATCTCGCACATTAGCTTTAAGAGATAAAAATGTACGTATACCTATCTCGCTCACGCATCGAAAGGTATAAGTAAAGGAATAGAAACGACGCCGCGACATTCGGTGGCTTGTGCTCGAGGAGAAAAGTTTAAATAAAGCATCGGATTTATATTCTTACGTTCACAATTATCACGTTTACACGTTTAGATTTAACAAAATTATAAAATTGTTTTGGGTCCTGAGAAAACTGGGACCTGCAACGAGTCAAATAATTATTGTAGCACTGCGCGTTATGCACGGTAAAAGTGGACCGAGCTGATAAATAACTAGATAAGAAAGTTGGAGAACCGGTACGTTGATATTTAGCATACAGATTTGATTTTTTATTTTTGAGGCGGGTCAACTCTTTGGTAAGCCAAGGAGGCTTATTTTTTGTAGACGGACAGCCAGAGCTCGCACAAAACGGTCAACCGTTTTGATCAATCAAATTCTTTCGGAGAGAGAACAACCAACTAGTCTGAAAAGGGTCTCTCTCGCAGATGTTCTCGCTTCTTTGCTTTGATTACGATTCCGGTTATCTGTAACGGAGATCGCAAAGACAAAGCTTTCGGGAAACGACGCGGCATAGAAACTACTCGCCCGCTTCTGAGTCGAAAAGAGTGCCTGAGAGAGAGGGAGAGGGATGAAGCACTCGTATTTTTACGAAAAATTAAAAATATATTCTACAAACAATTTAAACACAAATTAATAAAGAAATAAACTCAAGTTTGTGTTGAATGTTTTTTTCTCTTTGTTTCATTTGTTATTTAGTTTAATCATTTAATTTAATTAAATCAATTACATTTTTAAATGTTTGTTGTCAAAAATGAAGAAATTGTGCAAACAATCAACTGACGCTTCGCGAAATGTACAAGTTAACAGCGAGAACTTTCCGCGAAGAGACCGGTCACACTTCAGACAACGAGCCCGCTCTCTCCGCTTCAACCGAGAGAGAATAGAAAAAGGGCCCATGGCAGAGGTCTCATTGAGAGTTTTCGGAACTAACCGGTTACGTAACCTGAATGTTAAGACTCTTTTGGGAATCGGGACTCAACCCTGCGAGCTCTGCGGACAGCATAACGGAACACATTCAATAAAAAATGAATTCGTAGCACTGTAAAAAATATCCACGGCTTCCGCCATTTCAGTGCATATGTATAGATCAGACCATTTGTAATCAATTATGAAATTATTCAGCCGTACAAAATCCGTCTTGCTAAAGCAGAAGACTTCTTGGGCTGGAAAGTCAGATTTATTTCGTGGAACAGTCCCAATGTCGATAGTCACATCGAAAGTAGGATGATAGGGATCTTCGGGTTGCGTCAGGGGCGCCACCCTAGCTAAACTAATTCTTGCCGGATCAGAGACGAAGCAAAGATCAAGGAAACGCTCTAAAGAGTTTCGAACTTGGTTGGGACAGCGAAATGTCAAACAAGCCAGCAACAAAATCATGATGTGTTGTGGTAAGAAGTGTATTAGTAGAATTATCAAAAGACCAAATAGCCCCTGGGATGTTAAAATTACCAAGATCAACTAAATGGTCCCTATCCGAAAGTCTTTTGGAGACCAACTGAATAGCGGAAAGATGGTTCCAATAAATAGGAAGTTCCGACAATGGAGAAATGTAGGAACATGTAACAAAAATGGAACTACCATTAACTGATAGCTTCACGCAAAGGAATTCAACATCGTTGCATTCCTCGAAAGTTATTAATTCGGACGTGAGAGTGGAGTCGACCGGTATAAGGACACCTCCCCCTCGTCTGATAGGCCGATCTAGCCGGTATACTGTGAATGCAGCTGGAAAAACTTCGGAGCTCATAATCTCCGGCTTTAACCAGGTTTCTGTGAACACAATAACTTGGAAAGCAAATGTGACACTGTCAGAATACAATTAGGAAGCTTACTGCGTAAGCCTCTTTCATTCTGATAGAAGATACCAAGGGAGTTGGTGAGTTTTTTGGGACGGAATTAACAGACGTATAAGGGGCACTGGGCAAATCGGGAGGGTTGCGGTTTTTTTGCGCCTAGGAGACTCATTTAATAGCTTGAGACTACTAAACTGAGTGTCCACCGCCAAGAGCATATCTTGAGTTTTGCGAAAACTCTATAATAGCTGTTTAAAACCGCCCTTGGTTTTCCGCATAAAAGACATCATTTCCCTCTCCACCTCGCGGCAGGCCTCACATCAGTAGCGTACGCCAATATTCTTGGCCACGTCATCTACTGTCCGTGCAAAAACACCAATGCATTTGGGATGCACTATATTGTCACACAGCCAACAGGTGACGGTGAGTTCACCGTAAATAATATTTTTTACAGGATTTAGCGAAGCAGACCAAATTACCAGACATCTTAGTGACTTACCAATGTACTTCGGTGTTTAAGAGAGGGCGTAAGGGTTTAAGTGCAGAGGCACTGGAAGAGCAGGAGAGCAAAAGATCGGGAGAGCGTGAGTTAAGCACTGAACTAACAATAGGTACAAAAGGGAATGCAAAAATAATGCAAAGCGACCGCAGCAGCCCAAACTAAAATGTAATTTAAAATGAATTAAACATCACAAATAGAAAAGTTGCATGTACACGCGAAGTGAACGGGAGCTATTAAAAACACTAAATATGAATTGTTAATAAACCCCGGTGGTTTTTAGGCAAAATTCTACACAAATCGTGAGCGCAACATGGGAACAGCATTGGAACAAAATGCAAAAATTCAATAATTAATGAGTTAAGTAGAAATGGATAACGTATGGCAATATTGTTAGGCAATGAAATTTCTGAATGAAGCGCCCGGCATGTGCTGTGCATCAGGAAAAATTGTGCTGTCACCTCTACCTCCGATGGAACCTTTATTATCCCTTCTTGTTGGCAATTCAGAATTATTTTTGCGTAAGGCACGCAAATTTAATTCTTGCTTCCAAATGACGTCAATTGGGGCCACTAAAATTTGCAATCTTGCATCCAATGGACGTAATTTTGAAACTACATTCAAAATACAAGGCCAGGTGTACCATAAAATCGGGTCATTGATGCCAATGCCCGATGATAATCCGAAATTTCTTCAAATTTATTTTATGAGGAATTGTGAAGAACGAGTGACGACTCGGTACCAGTTTAATTTCATTTAACAAGCAGCAGAGGAAAAATCAATTGTTATATTACTGGAAAATTGTTTAGAAGGTCAGAATCAACTAATTCGATTTATTGAAAGAGTTTTGAAACGATTGCAAAATGACAACTATCAAATCGTCATAAAAGCCGACAAAGTACCATTATGTGAAAATGCTGGTAGATTCAACGTTCCAACCTTTTGATATGGTTGCTGTTGTAATAGTTGGTGACAAAAGAGCTATTAAAATTACACGGCAACTCGTGAATAAAAAAAAAAATAATGAATTTAAATTCAAAACTCCGTAATAACACAACGAAACAAGCTCATCAATAGCTCTTAAAACGTCAACGCTTCTTAACTCCTTAAAAAAATTTAAATAGGACAAATGTAAATAGGAACTTGCCCATACTTAAATTGTAAATATAAGTTAAACTTTATTAAATATTTACATATATGTATATATATCAAACAAAAATACCTCTTAACGAGGCGATGCGACTTTAAACCAAAATCAATCGGATAATATCTTTTGTAACAATTAGTTATATTAATAAAATAATTCATAAACAATTTAACTAGTTTCATTTTCGGCAATAAGCTGAAAATGATCTCAATGATCCTATTGCACACTGCAAGGATATACAAACTTTAGCGTGCCAATGTTTACTTTTTTCTTGCTTAAATCTATTATTATTATGATCTACACTACTAGTTATGCACTGTACTACATATTTCAACAAGAACTCAAGTGTAGATGTCGACCAAATAATACATTGCTTTACTTTCTCATTGTACAACTAGGACCTACCTTTGGCGTCATTAGACCAAGTCGAAGTCCGGTCATTAAGTGCGCCACGTGCTGCTTGCGGATTTCAGGATCCCGATCAATCCACTTGACACACAATTTCCAAACGTAGTCCTCCTCGCGGGTGTTGAGTTCATCGTCACTAATTATGCTGTAGAAGTCCTTTACGTTCATATCCATTATGTCTGTATTACGAGCTGCCACTTCCGTGAAGTATCGTAAGGTGTAATTGCGTGCCTTCTGGTATAAATCCTCTAAAAATCGGAACCTGTCGTGATGCCAATTAAAATCGGATTTGTGTGCGTTTATCACAGAGACCAATTCTGTGTGGTATTGGAATCGCCACTTACCGTGCGAATCCCATAATGCTGACACAATTCTCTGGTGTAAGTGTATGGCTGAGATAGTCCTTGCACTGTTTAACCAAACCCACCATGCCAACATAATCCGCACAGATTAGCAGTTCGTGAACATTTTCGTCGTTAATATTTGTCTGCCTTAGGTAGGCATACTGAATGACACCATTCATGATGCTGGCGCTTATGCCGGGGATGTGGATGACGCGGTTCTCTTTTCCTGTTCCACCTGTTCCGCATACGCTACTGACGGCATTGAATCCCGTAAACTGTGCGCTAGCGAGAAGATGTGGAAGAGGATGCCCTGCAGTGGCAAACTTTTTGGTGCGATTTGGACTCACCGAAAATAAGAGCTGCAGGAACACATGATAGCGCGGTGCACGTTAAAAGCCTGTTCTCCCACCGAAATCTGGGCATCGCACAGTAGATTTGCTTCACGCAGCTCGTTTAGTGTGTTAAGAGCATTGTCGCTAACAGTGGGAGCAAGTGATTTCGGCGAAGCCTTGATATTGGAGTGGAGACCGACACCAAGCAGTTCGTCGGCCAGACTATTTCCGTCTGCCTCCAGCTCCATTGTGTCAATTGAAAGCGATGGAACTAAGGTGAGCGGGAGGGAAAGACCTTCGTTCACGCCGTGAATGTGATTTTCATTTTGATTGTGATTCATCGCGAGAGAGAGCCAATAGTGTCCTGGGGTTCTGGACCTTGCATAGAAAGGAAAATATGCTGATAATAATGATAAGAGTACAAGTGCAAACCAATGTCAAAGACAGTTACCCAGGAAAACGCGTTTTACCGATTTTAATCTGTTAATATGGAGGAAAAGATCTCCGTATTCTACTGTAGAATTATAAATATGTTCGATAATTAATCAACAACAAGTACACAGTTTATGTAACGAATGAAACGCTTTAAATTCTGAACTAAAATTCATACGCTCACTTAGTGCCAATCGTGGCCATTTGAAAAACATATATGAAATCTACAATATGTGTGTGTGGACTAAAGTACCCTTCAGTACCATAATTCCCTTCCTGTCCAATTCCTCGCGGTATGTTCGGAAAACAAAAACAAATCGGATGGGCTTCGTTTAGAAAAGTTCGAAACGAAGTAGGCAAACTAAATTCTACTGGCGTTCGTTTATTGCCGATATCTCGCAAAGTTTTGACTTTATATTTGTTGTTGTTTTCAAAGTGATTCCGGAGAAACAGCATTCGACAGTCCCGGAAATTAGAGAGGGATGAAGCTGGTGGGATAGAAGGGAGTAAAATCTGTGTCGAAGGCAAAGCGGCATAAGGAAAATAAAAGAAGTTCTGAGCTTTAAAAATATTTAAGATTATATTTATTAAGCTTTAGCTTTTTTAATCGTATGGCATATTGGCAGATATTAAAACGTTGCCCTAGGCAAACGTTAATGTGATTATCTAATTTTTGTGGTTTATATTACAAGGCATTGCTTTGCTAGAAAATATACTGGCACCCGCCAGAATTTTCGGTAATCGGTTTGGTCTAACGTCTTCGAATTCTTATTTTTGTGGTTTATATTACAAGGCATTGCTTTGCTAGAAAATATACTGGCACCCGCCAGAATTTTCGGTAATCGGTTTGGTCTAACGTCTTCGAATTCTCATTGCATTTGAAGTTCTATTAGTTATATGATGGTAACAAAAAAGTGAACTACAATAAAAACAGAAAATGAAGCTTACTTCAGCACGCCGAAGTTTGTATACCTATGCAGTTTTCAATTGGATTATTAACAATCAATCCGAAACTAACTGGAGGTATTTAAATTATTTATATTTTTGCATATCATATTATAATTTGGTTTGGATAAAATGTCAAAAAAATTATTATAAAATCCTATAAATAACAATATTGCAGATTTGAAATATTTAATATAATTTCAATTTTAAATATATACCTATGCTAAAAAATAAAAAAAGAATATCAACTTTCAATTATATTTACCAATACAAATATTTACAGTTTTACAATTACAGTTTTACATTCACAGCTTTCAATTTTTTGTTACTGATCCTTCCTATGGTAATATGATATACGTGATTTCGTTATAACCGAAATTCTGAAATAAAACAAAATGGCAGTGTCTCAGAGTCGATGAAACATGTTGGCATCGCTGTCATTCATATAATTTATGTATGGATAATATTATACAAATTAAGTTTTTTTTATTTAGGTGAAGTTTACAAGATAGTGTAAATTGTGATTATAGATGGAAAATTCTACTTTCGTACGATAGAAGCACTCAACTGGCCTCGTTCAGTTCCCAAAAACGTTCCCAAAAACTGCTGCTGGCTTCTGGAGTTTTTCTATAACTTCTTCTGTTCCTGTATATTTTGTCGGATATATGTATATATGTATATATATGTCGGAACGACCCGGACGACTATATCACCTCTTTGTGTGCTATGGAAATCATTTCACCTACCATCTAGTCGGATACAACAAGCAGTGTTCACACATGAACATGTAAATAGATAAGATGCATCTGTTAAGCATTAAATAAATCTCTGCCGCAGCGCACTGTACTTGTCTATCTTTAAGTAAACCCGCCACTTGGGCCTATGTAATACAAAAACAACCCGAAATATGACCTCCTGTGAGCGGTCTGGGTTTGTTCAAGATATGCGCTATCGGGCTGCCTGTGTGCACCCTTATCTCACTTAAAATACTTCCCACGATCGGGAACTGTCCGATGCGTGGGTCTAGAACTAATATCTAAATTTACATTCTCATGTTAGCTATATAAGCTAGGATTGGAATGAAATAAACTAGTTTCTTACAAAAACTCAACAGATGAAGACTTCTCATTTATTTGGGGGTTTTCATTTTGGTCAATCGAGCCTTCGAAGAAATTTACTTCGATAACTCTGCAGTTTCCCCCTCTATGGTAAGGGACTCAGAGAAAGGCCAGCTCCTTTAAGCGAAGCAAAGTAACACTTGCAGCTAAAAGGTAGCAAAATAATTAACTCTTGTTTCCCCCCACCCGTGGTAAAGAACAGAGTATAAAAAAAAGCAAAAGGATAAAAAAAGAGTCCTTATTGTTAAAAAGCAAAATTTTCCAATAAAAAAATATTGGTAAAAAAAATTTTTGTGGTCGAGAAATCGGCAAAATTAAAAAAATAAATAACAAAAATTTATTGTGGGCGTTTTTTCGAGGCCAAAAACATCGAAAAGTCGCGGTAGTGAAAAAAAAAGACCTATCGTGACAAAATTAAAAAAATCCCTATCGTGACAAAAATAAAAAATACCGACTCCTCCAAGTGAAGTGAAGTGCAGTCAAAAATTAAAAATACAAACACCTCCAAAAAGTGCCAAAGAAGAAAAAATTAAAAAACCAAGACACCCTCAAAAAAAAAAAAAAAAAACAACAACACAAAAATCAAAAACAACAAGCCGAAACCAGACGTATAGAAGGAAGGAAGACCGCAGCAGAAACAACAACATCTACACAGAAAAAATTCTGGTGGGTTAAATTAACAATTTCTTTTGGTTCAATAACAGTAAAGCTACTGTCAATGTATTTTGTTGTTGGATTTGGTGACTGCACGACAGTTTATATGACAGTCAATTACAGTCACCCTTAAGTACGAGATTCTGTGTGTTTTTTGTTGTTGGCTTTGCGAACTGTCGTAACTGTCAGCTGCAGTCAAAATACTGTAGGTTTAACGTAAAAAGTTTTATGTGTTTCTTTATCTTGTTTGGTATCGTGTATGTATTTTTGCATTCCCAAGGTAAGTAACATTAACATTTTATAATTTTATTAAATATTTTATGAAAATCCATTGCTTTTTCTGCCCACTAAAATACTTTCTGGTATATATTTCCAAACTTCTAGTATATAGCAAGCGTTTCTTGAAAAAACGATTTCGGGCACACTTAAAAAGCGGCGTCGGTTTCGAGAAGTTGTGCAGCGAAAAAGTGAAGTGAAAAAGTTAAAAGTAAAAGTTATGAGTGATATTGACGAAGTGGCTACCTTGGAGGATCTTCTGGAGGAGTGGGATTTCAGAGACCTATCGCCCACATTTCTCGGTAAGTTCACAAACAATCATTTAAAGTATAATTAGATCCGCAATTGGCATATGTACATATACATATATGTATATATATAAATACATATGTATACATATATATACATATATGTATGTATTTACATATGCAAGTACACGTACGCTGCTGATCGCAAGAAGAAACGCTTTTAAAAGTAAAGTTAGTATACAGATTAAAATATATACATATATGTAAAAACTTATATTTGGCACTGATCCTTGATTGCTTTTCTTTATTTTACAATTTGAATAGCGATTAGCGGACATGTACATGCATGCAAATGTATTTTTTGGCTTCTTGTTGACTTGCGATGCCAACCATCTCAGGCGAGTGCGAGCAAGATAGCTGGCACTGACATCCAAGAACCGTTTGTTTTATATCTTATTATGATATATATAATTAAATCTTTTATACTGTTATATTTAGTTTTCAGGTGAGAGTATTCACATGTAACTATAAAACATAGACGGTGAACTTTCATAGCGAACGGTCGTGTTTTTGTTTTGCGCTCCGAACTTTTGTGTTGTTTTGCATTTAAAACCACCGGGGTCCAGATTTTAACTTGTTAAAACACAATATATAACTTTGCCGTTTTGCTACGCGAGTGCATGTGCATGTGTCTTTAAGTGTTTATTTAATATATACATATATCTCATTTAATCACTTTTAGTTTTTTGCGTTTTCCTGCCTCCTCTTTGTGTAGTCCCGTTTATCTGCGTCTAGCTGCACTTAGGCGGTTCGAAGCTTTCGTTGTGTCTCTGCTCACCCACGCTTACGCTCCCGCTCTCTTGTTTTTTTTGTTCTCGTTTCGGCTCTGCTTATCGGTGCACCGTGGTTGTAGGTTGTGTAAAATGGTGTCGAATACTGTTTGTGCTATTAAAGGCTGCCAAAAAGAAGTTTTGGCAGAACAGCCCAGCCTTTTTTGCTGGCTTTGCGATGCGGTCGTACACGCTAAGTGTCTCGACTTAACGGGCCGTATCGCCGACGTAATTTCTGCCAATAAAGGCATACGTTACTGTTGCTATGCCTGCCGGGAGGTTGAGAAGGAAATGTTATCCTTCATGCGGCAGACCAGGGGCGGATTTAATGAACTTAGGGTCAATTTTCGCAAAGCGAACGACCTGTTCACAGCGCTGGACGCTCAATTTAATGGGATGAAGCTGTTAAGTGAGTCGCCAAAGCGCAAAAAATCAGCTTCTGGTCGGCAGCAATTGGGTGAGCCCCAGCAACCTACGATCTGGCATACCCCCTCGGCCCAGCCCCCGGCACCGACACCAACTCCAATGGTGTTGAGATCGGGAACGGCGAAAGATTCGGCAATCGAACGTGCCGGGAATGAAATGGCAGCAGCTCCGCCCGTTTTATTAGTTGAGTCCGCTGCGGAGTCTCAATCACTGACACCGCAGACTTCAAAAAAAATCTCAGCTATCCCACAGGGCAAAAAAAGAGCCGTTCAAATGGCTGAAGTCGGTAATGTTCCTTTACCAAAAACCCTCACTGCTATTCCACCATTAAAAACAATATTTGTTTCTCGGCTTGCCCCTGACCTCGCATCTGAAGATGTACAAGCTCATATACAGAGCAAAATACAAGCCAATAATGTGAAAATAGAAAAATTCAACTTTTCATACCCCAGAGACATCTCATCTTTCAAGATAAGTGTCTCCTTCGATCTTTTTGACGTAACTTTCAAACCGACGTGATTTACACAGACTTCAGTAAAGCCTTTGACTCGGTTAATCACTCTCTTCTTGTAAGGAAGCTTGACTTTATCGGGTTTCCTGTCGATCTACTTAAATGGATTTTGAGCTATTTGAGTGACAGAACTCAAAAGGTTCTGTTTAAAAATGCTCTATCCAAATTCCTCAGAGTCACTTCTGGCGTCCCGCAGGGTAGCCACCTCGGCCCGCTGCTATTTACATTGTTTATCAATGACCTCCCGCTGGTTCTAACGAATTCTAGAGTACTTATGTACGCTGATGACGTTAAGCTATGCTTGCAGTATAAGGACAGCTCTTGCCAGTTAGACCTGCAATCGGATCTTAATAACTTTCAAGCATGGTGTCGTGCTAATTTATTACATCTCAACAGCTCTAAATGCAAGCTGATGACATTTTCACGTGTCACTCCCCAGTATGCCACTTATATGCTAAATGATTGTGCTCTTGAAAGAATATCTCTTGTTGATGATTTAGGCGTTCGCTTAGACCCTAAACTTTCGTTCTCTGAACATATTTCGTGCACGGTTAATAAGGCCAGAGGCATGCTAGGTTTTATTAAGAGGTGGTCGAAGGAATTCGATTCCCCTTATATAACGAAGACCCTTTTTACTTCGTTAGTTCGCCCTATATTGGAGTATGGTTCATGCGTCTGGAGTCCTCAATTCGGAATCCATATTAACCGTATTGAATCTGTACAAAAGAACTTTTTACTTTTCGCCCTCCGTGGCCTACCTTGGGATGCTGATGAGAGGCTACCGTCCTATACAAGTAGACTCCTATTAATTAACTTACCCTCCCTAGCTAACCGTAGAACAATGCTTGGTGTCGTATTCCTTCATAACCTTATAAATGGTGTGGTTGAGAGCCCCTTTCTTTTAGGGCAGCTTAACTTCCACGTTCCCCGACTAACATCTAGAACCCTTATCCCTTTAGTAGTAAATCACTGTAGGCGGGAGTTTGAAGTACATGAACCCTTTAGGGTTTTATGTACGGATTACAACCGCCTCTCTGATATTATAATTCGTAGCGATAACCCTTCTATATTAAAAACCTTAATACTTGTAGAGTTAGCTCGTAGTGTAGCACCGTAGTCTAATTTTGCATGCGTTTCTTTTTATTTTACCTATTTATTTATTCTTGCATGACTTGTAGTAGTTATCTCGTAGAGTAGCACTTATTTTGCATGCGTTTTTCTTTTTATTTTTTTTTTTTTTTTTTTTATCTTTTATATTTTGTTTATTTATTAAATTATGGTTATGGTTATATATTTTTATTATTAGATCATTATTTTGCATGTGTTTTTATTTATTTATATATTTATAGTTTATTATATTATCTCCTAATGTTTCCTCGTACATTTCGTCTGTCCTTCTAACGCGTCTATCTAGTTCGCGATTCGTGCCGTACGTCACACGGCTGCGCCCCTCGGTCGGTTGGGCAGGAGGTGGAAGCGGGACCCCGCGCGAAAAAAAAAAAAAAAAAAAAAAAAAAAAATAACTATGTAAATGGAATCAACAAAATGTAAGTAAAATATTTGGCCGTTTTCTATTAATTTTAATAAACAAATTTTTTTAAATCAATTTTTATTTCAGAAAAGCTATAGTCGAGACAAAAGTACTAGTTCGGATGTGAAATATGGACAAATATATATTTGTGAGTATTGATAATCATCGTTTGACTTAATATTTATTTATTAATAAATTTACAATTATAATATTTAATTTATTTATTCATAATATAGGAAATATATATATATATAAGTCCATAATATTATTAATTAAGACCCTCTGTAAATATTTTTAAAGAATAAGTAATTAAAAAAATATTAATTAAGACCCTCTGTAAATATTTTTAAAGAATACGTAATTAAAAAAATACTATTAAAATTTTAAAATAATTTTTGGTTTTATTTTGGTGGTAATATGAACTGCAATTACTGTAGTCGGGGGTAGTCTACAGTAAAATAGTAAAATAGTGTATTTCACAATTTTCGTGGTTTGGCGCTTTTTAACCGCAAAATCGTGGTTCCATGTACTGTAGAGCAGTACATGTTACGTAACGCGTTACGTCGTTATACTGCAGCGTACAGTTCATGGAACCCAAGATTTTGGTTGTTACCTTTTAACCCACGAAATGGTTGGATTTACCCACGATAATTTTTTCTGTGTACATTAAAGACAACGACAGCAGCAGCAACAACAGCAGCAGCGATTACAAATAAATCTGCAACAACAGCGACAGCGGCAGCGACGACAGCAGCGACGACCGAGGACAAGGCAGCTAAGTCTAATTACAAAAAATTTTTTTATAATATATACACAGTTACATATAAGTATATATAAAAAGTTAAAGAATTAGGAGAAACCCTGTTAAAGAAAATAATAATAATAATAATTAGATATATTTTTCTTGTCCGCAAAAAAAAAAAAACACAATGTTGTCCGCTGAGTCCATAGCTTTAATTAAAAAGCAGGTAGAGATAACAGAAAGGAGTAGAGAATTGGTAAAATTACCCAGCTTTAGTGTAGAATCAATACGAGAGTATGAAAAGCTAAAAAGTGAATGCGTTTCAAATCACTCGTCACTGCTGCGGATTGGAGTAGTCGATCACGACTACTTCAAAAACAAGCATTTTGACGAGATGATGTCAGGTTTCAAGACAATAAAAGAAAAAATTGAGGAAGTGTTTAAAAAGGCAGAAGAGGAGGCAGAGAAAAAAACAGAACAAAAAAAGATAGATCTAGCACTAGAGCAACTAGAGAGTTATTTACAAGATACTCTTCTTGCAATTCAGGAGGATAAAGTAAAAACGTTTGACATTAGGATCAAAAAAATTAATTTTTATTGGGATAGACTGATTAATTTAAAAGAAGTCACCCATGTTGATGTCACTGATAGGGCATATGATTCAAGATTCGACGAAATCGAATTCGACATCGCAATATTAATAAGCGATATGAAAAAGAAAACCCAGGAAGTTGTGCCAATAAAGGTAGATGTGGCAAATCTCAAAATTGATGATTTGCCAACATTACCAAAAATACAGGTCCCAGCGTTTTTTGGAGATTCCAAAGATTGGGACCTATTTTATGAGCTCTTCACTGAGCTCATTCATTTAAGGGAGGATTTAAGTCCGACCTTAAAATTTAATTATCTCAAGATCTCGGTAAAAGGAGAAGCCAGAAACGTGGTTTCTCACTTATTACTGGGGTCTGGGGAAAATTATGAAGCCGCTTGGGAATTATTGACCAAGCGGTATGAAAATAAACGGAAAATATTTTCCGAACAGCTTAATCGCCTCCTTGAGCTTGAGAATGTGAATCTCGACTCAACAAGGCAATTAAGGATGTTTATTAGAGCGGAACCTTTGTTAACTTTTTAGTTTATAACTATTAGTTAGCATTAAATAAATAAATAAATAAAGGATGTTTATTGACACTATAAATGAGTCAATTCACATGATAAAATTAAAGGCACAAGTTTCCGATGAGGTTGATTTAATCTTTGCACAAATAATTTTAAAGAAATTTAATAAAGAGGCTCTGCAGCTTTATGAGAGCCATACAAAGAAACCAAAGGAAATTCAATTATTATCCGATGTAATTGAATTCTTAGAGCAGCGATTAAGTTCGATAAGCTCTGTTCAGGATGAAAATCCTGTTAAAATAAATAATGCTATAAAAAAAATTTTCACTAGCAATTGTCCCATTTGCAAAGGTTTGGGACACACAGTGGCACAGTGCCAAACATTTAGAGCATTAAATCCATCAGAAAGGATGAAAAAAATTAAAAAGGCAAAATTATGCTTTAAATGTCTTAATCACGGACATCATATAAAATGTCTAAGCAATATAACGTGTTCGGTGTGCAGGGGATATCACCATAGCATGCTGCATCTATCACAATATAAAACAAGAAAGGAAGCTAACTTCGGCACGCCGAAGTTTGTATACCCTTGCAGATTGGTTTTGATGTTTATTTTATAGATTTAAATGCTAAAAGCACTCACAAAACAGAGTTTTATTACATCTTACCTTTACTTATTATGTTTACAGTTTGACAGTTACAGTTTTACATTCCCAGCTTTATATATTTTATACATTTACCGATCGCTTCTATGGCAGCTATATGATATAGTTGTCCGATTTTTATGAAATTTATACCAAAATTCTAGAATAATAAAAAAAACTTATATCTCAGAGTAAATAAAAATGCGTTGAAAAACAACGAAGCTATAATTTTATTTCTATTAATTTCCCGATCGTTCCTATGGCAGCTATATCATACAGTCGTCCGATTTTCATAAAATTTTTACCAAAATTCTGGAATAATATAAAATCTATATCTCAAAATGGTGCAAAAATATTGAAAAACAGCCAAGTTATAATTTTTTTCTAAAAATTTATCGAACATTTGTATGGCAGCTATATGATATAGTCGTCCGATCCGGCCCGTTCCGACATATATAGCAGTGAGAGCATATAGAAGACTATATGCAAAGTTTCATTCAGATAGCATTAAAACTGAGGGACTAGTTTGCGTAGAAACAGACAGACAGACAGACAGACAGACAGACAGACAGACAGACAGACGGACAGACGGACAGACGGACAGACAGACAGACGGACAGACAGACAGACGGACAGACGGACATGGCTAGATCGACTCGGCTGTTGATGCTGATCAAGAATATATATACTTTATAGGGTCGGAAACGTCTCCTTCACTGCGTTGCAAACTTCTGACTGAAATTATAATACCCTGCAAGGGTATAAAAATAGAAAATGTCAATACGCTAAGGACATCGGATTAGCCTTATTAGCTACGGCTAGGGTTCAAATAAACAACTCAAAAGGAAATTACGAAAATTTTAGAGCTTTGATTGACACAGGGTCACAAAGAACAATTATTTCAGAAGAATCTGCGCAGATTCTAAAATTAAACAAAATTAAATCTCAAACAGAGATAAGTGGAGTATCTTCCACTGGAAAGTGCATCTCCAAGCACAAAGTAGTAATTTCCATTAAAAATTCTCCGAAAAATTTAACAACTGAAGCAATAATACTCCCAAAGCTAATGAAGGATCTTCCAGTCAATGTAGTTAAAGTTGACAAAGAAAAATGGAAGAAGTGTAAGTTAGCTGACCCCGAATTCGATAATCCAGGTCATATTGACCTAATAATTGGAGCAGACTTATATACTCACATTATTCAGAATGGAGTTAAAAGAAAAGACGGGCTCCTTGGACAAAAAACTCGTTTCGGGTGGATTGTTTCTGGATGTAAAAAATCCAAAACAAAACAAAACAACAAAACAATTGTTGCAACGACAATCGAGCTAAAAGATTTAGATCGATTTGGGGAGATGAAAGAGGAAGACAGGAATGATATCGAGTCTGAAATATGCGAAAGCAAATTTATTAAAGGTACCATAAAAAATTCAGATGGACGATGCATTGTGTCAATTCCATTTAAGGAGAATGTCACCTTAGACGATTCAAAAAAACAAGCTATATCGCAATTTATGAATTTGGAGAAGAAGTTAAAAAGAAATCTAAAACTTAAGGTTGACTACGCTAAGTTCATGAAAGAATACATGGATTTAGGACAGATGGTTGATGTGCAGGATGAAGGTAAATATTTTCTACCGCACAAGGCTGTGATAAGAGACTCCAGCCTGACAACCAAATTAAGAGTAGTTTTTTTATGCTTCAGCAAAAACTACAAACAAAAAAGATATTTTTGACATTATTGTTAAGTGGAGAAAGTGGAAATTTGTGGTGTCGGCAGACATTGAAAAAATGTATCGTCAGATAAAAATTAATGATGATGATCAAAAATATCAAAATATATATGGAGAAATTCTCTAGAAAAAATTAAAAATTATAAGTTGACAACAGTCACTTACGGTACTGCATCCGCTACCAGAGTATTGGTAAATATTGCAGAAAAATGTGAAAACCAGAAAATCAGTGCAATAATTAGGAATGATTTCTATATGGATGACCTAATGACTGGAGCTGATTCAGTAGAAGCCAATAAATTAATAAAACTGGGTTCACAAGAATTGGAGAAAGTGGGATTCAATTTGAGGAAATGGATTTCCAACGATCTCAAAATATTAGCCACTGTAGGAGACACAGGGGATAAGCTGGAAAAGGATAGGATTAATTGGCATTTTATCCCCCCGGCAGGACCTCACTTCGGAGGTATTTGGGAAGCTGGGGCGAAATCAACTAAATACCATTTAAAGCGAATAAAGTCCGTTGAAAATAGAGAGGTTGACCCCCAGCCAAAAAGGCAAACTAGAGCCGCGTCAAGAATGTCCAAGCTAGGGTTTTTAATGGCAATGCTTATATTTATATTGTGTTGTCAATTGTCTAACGCATTGCCAAATAAAGAAAAACCAAAATACTCAATAGAGAGTATAAATAAAACCTCGGCAATATACTTAGATCCAATGGGCGACGTTGAAATTGTGGCCTCGTCGTGGAACTTAGTAATTTACTATAATATGGACGTTTATTTCGAAATGTTGCGAAAGGGTAAGCAATTAATACCAAAAATGAGAGTTGTTTGCGAAAAGCTTTATGGGTTTGAAGATCAGTGTCTCTTAGTTCTAGATAACACGGAAAGACAGATCTCAGACTTAGAAGAGAATAACAAACTCTTTATGTCTCAAAGTAAGCCTAGAAATAGGAGAGCTCCTTTTGGCTTTATGGGATCTCTTTATCACATACTATTTGGAATAATGGATGAAGATGATAGAGAAGCAATGGAAAATAATATGAAGAATTTAATAAGCAATCAGCAGAATCTTAACGAATTAGGCAAAAAACAAACGTCAATTGTCGATTCTACAGTTAATATATTAAAAAGTACGACAGATGATATCAATGCAAGCTTTAAGGGCATGAATAAGAGAATCGACAATATGACTGCTGTGCTAAAGGAATCGTATTATGTATACAAAGAATCGATTAATTTCTTCATGATCTCCAAGCAATTAACGAATATAATAGATGATTGCGAGAAAATACAATCCGGAATCATAGGCCTATTAATTGACATCAATCATGGTAGACTTAATACTAACATGGTAAAGCCCAGTCAGTTAAAGCTAGAAATCTCCAGAATAAAAGACTTACTGTCAGAGAATTTAGTTTTGCCAGGAAAAAGGACAGGCACTGAGTTAAAAGAAATTTATACTTTGCTAACAGCTAGAGGACTTTTCGTTGATAGGAAGTTAATTATTAATGCAAAAATACCGTTGTTTGGTAGGCATGCTTCCGTGCTTTATAGAATCGTTCCTGTGCCTCTTAACATTGACGAACGCATGATAATAATACATCTCGAGTCTCAATATTTAGTCTACAATTTTGAACTAGATGCTTATCACCTAATGGCAGAATCCACACTTAATAAGTGCCAAAGATGGCAATCAAACAAAAGGGTTTGTGATGGAAGTTGGCCTTGGAGAAGTGCCAACGATAACAGTTGTGAGATTACTCCTCTTAAACCAAACAGGGCTTCAAATTGTAGGTATAAATCAATTATTGAGAATAAGTCATACTGGTTTGAGTTAGATAGACGAAGTAGTTGGCTCTTTAAGGTGCAGACCAACACCAAGGCTAGAGTGCAATGCGGAAGTTCCAAATTAGAAATAGTAGATTTGCCTGAACAGGGAATTTTTACAATAAGATCAGATTGCACTGTCCGAACAGATAATGATATCCTAGTAGCTCACCACACGATTCAGTCAGAAGATCAAGGGACAATATCCTTGGCATATATAGGTGAAGTTAATGAAATACCTAATGTAATATTTGAACAGTCAGGTACGACTATGATAAATCATACAGTAGAAATGAAGAATTTGTTAAATGAAATAAATGATTTAAAAACGCATAAGTTAAAATTACATGAGTTAGATTTTCATCATATCACTGGTCATACATCTTTAATGTTGGCTATTATTATTATCATAATATTGATTGTATATTTTGCGAGGAAAATAAAAATACGAAGGCAATTGCAAGCCATAGCTATCCCCAGTAATATACTAAATGTTTAAGATAAAGAAAAATGGTTAAGTCTAAGCAAAATTAAGAAAAATAATTCAAAATAAAAATGAAAAGAAATAAAATTGTACATGTATTAAGCCATGATACGGAGGCCTTTGCAAAATGTTAGTTGCAAAATTAATTATATCGAATGAAACAAATAAAATACAGTCCACTTACTTTTTATTGCAACTAATTTAAATGTACCCCGAATCTGGCTGGCCCTTGGCAGAATGTTCACACATGAACATGTAAATAGATAAGATGCATCTGTTAAGCATTAAATAAATCTCTGCCGCAGCGCACTGTACTTGTCTATCTTTAAGTAAACCCGCCACTTGGGCCTATGTAATACAAAAACAACCCGAAATATGACCTCCTGTGAGCGGTCTGGGTTTGTTCAAGATATGCGCTATCGGGCTGCCTGTGTGCACCCTTATCTCACTTAAAATACTTCCCACGATCGGGAACTGTCCGATGCGTGGGTCTAGAACTAATATCTAAATTTACATTCTCATGTTAGCTATATAAGCTAGGATTGGAATGAAATAAACTAGTTTCTTACAAAAACTCAACAGATGAAGACTTCTCATTTATTTGGGATTTTCAAGCAGTTTATTTACTGGTTCCTTGTAAAGGATTTTATTTTCTAAATAAAAAACTTCGTGCTCCTTGTTGCTGACCAATATGACTTTAACGGCTTTTATCCAATTGTCTCTGTTCTGTGCTTCAATTAAACGTGATTTTGTGGAATAATGTAATAAGAAAGCAAGACAAACGGCGAAGCGCATTAACATGCCTCATCTTCGTTCCGGCTCGGTGTTCCATGGCCCACCTTGCAACTCTATGGGGCAAATCGTCCTTTTTGATGGTCATTGCAAAAGCGTGCAATCTGT